TACGAATACGGTACACTAAGTTTGATAACAGCTGTTCGGAGGAGAGGGAGGTTAACATGTGGCTACATGATGGGGGATAGCGAGAATATGCCAGAGGAGGCAAAGCTCAGGGCGGTAGGAGAACCTCCTTTCATTGAGGTACGTGGTGGTATGGCTCCACGGCATGCATCAAGACCCACCCGATAGCAGCATTCTTCGCAGACTTCAACGCAGGCTTCTCGGCTTCGACTTTTCAAAGTTATTTGAGGTGGGATGGACCCATCTGCCTGGCACTTTGAGAGACTATATGGGAAATCCCTTCTTTCCAGGATTGTTGTTCATTTGGGTTGTACTGCATGGTGAGTATGTAGGGGTACCTTGGCTTTGGGAGCCTTGCCACCCCAAGCGGTATGTACCCGCCCGCTGAAGCCTGATGGCGATTTCTCAAAATGAGGCATGCACTAAAAGGGTAGGATATCACAGAAATTGCAAGGAAAACCACCCAGAATTCTGGAGAAGCCCCCTCATCAAATTTGCATTGTTGAAGGGAGCTTGCTCGTTTTGGGATCCGCAGCTGCATGACCTTTTGGATATTCCACAAACTCCTGAACTAACATAAGACCCTGAACTCAAAGATGGCGCGAGGGCCAGAACAAAAAGGAACAGATTCCAAAGTCCCAGGCATAGCTGAAACCCAATGCACACTTGGCGCCCTTCAGGGGGTTCCGTTGAAGGGAGCACAGGTGCTGGATGCACAAACCATGTTCCGGTATATTCATGTTCAGTGTTAAGCTGTCTCTGGATACTTTGCACATTCTGGGCACTTGGGCCCAAGGCATGGCGATAGCTAGGTAGTGAAAATCCAAGCTAGAGGCAGGTAATACCCTACAGTCCCAGGTCATATCATATAGTCCCAGGTAACATCCTATACTAAACTCCCTTCGGTAATACCCTATGGTCCCGAATGCTGCTCTTGACTCCCCTGCTTGAGCCGGTATCCGCCGGGTTCCTGCTCATATGAGCTAAAGTCTAAACTCCTAAAAGGGGGTTATATGGGGGACTGTATAGGGGAGTATTATGTGGATTATTAAGGGGGATGCTAGGAGTTCAGATTATGGATCATATTACCCTGTTCATGGCTTTTCCTTCCGCCACTTTTTGCTGTGACGTGTCTCACAGGCTTCATCGACGAGTTATTTTCGTGGTGCCTACCAACCCCGAGACGAACTATGACGGATGCCCATCAGCATGTCAGGGAGCGCGAAGTGAGGCATTTTGAAGCACCCAACCAAAAAGTCTTGACTGTTACTTTATAGCTAGTTCTTCCCATGGAGCTGCTTCTTATACCTTCTGGAGCTTAAGGGGTTGTGGTGGAGGGAAGGTAAGAATCATGGATGGGGAGATTAGGTAGGGATCATGTTTTGCGGCATCCAGTCCCCCTAACACCATGCCGCCCGTTTAAACCTTGGCCTTGTGGGGGTAAGAGTTGAGAGTTGGTGGGGCTGTTGTAGGCTTCTTGCCATACACCCTCAGAAGTACCCAGAAGAGCAAATCTTCTTCATTCTGCTTCGCAGTATGGTCCTGTTGAACCCAACCCTACCCCGAGCTCACACGAATCCCTGAAGAAGGAGCAAATTATGTTGACCTGGGAGGAATAGCTATTGTTCCAATAATGGAAGAGCAAGTGGATAAGAAAACAGAAAATTTACTGGAAACCCTAGGCCCCTTTAAAGGGTTGTGTAGTTGTATGGGGATATATGGGGAGCATACCCCCAATAAACTAGTGGCATTATTGTGGTGAGTAATTGTTAGTAACATTTTTAGTTATTCGTAGCATTATCATTGCGGAGTTCTATGTGTACTACAGTTAGTATTAGTTGTAGTATCAATCTTACTATCAATGTTGCAGGTAGAACAAAGGTCTTCGTCAGACTGGTAAACGAAGGCAGGATGACTTTCTTTTGCTAGGTCTTCCGCGAGGGGAAATTGGCCGCCGTCAGCTGAAATAGAGGAGGTCTGTGTTTGTTCATAAATTAGCTTCTCAGACTTAATTATGAAAGTTAGGGTTTGGTATTTTGGGCTTCGAGTACTAGCTATGGAAACGGAGCTCTGGGACGCGATTTCCTGCCGGTGTGGGGCGTTCGCTCTAGAAAGACATTGGCCGGATCTACTCGTGTTACAGTCTAAACTCCCAGTATCAGCCCAAAACAACGCCTATCATACTCCCCTATATAATCCCCTTATTGCCTGCCTTTAAAGGAGTTTAGACTATTGCTTGCATGGCTTGGGGTGTAGGGCCAATATAGATGCCAAATGTAGGGGCCTGAGCAGTTGGATTGGGGTTTGAGGTCTGTTTCATTCTTGCTGTATAAGGCTCATGAGGAGATAGTCTTGGCAATGATTAAACCCTAAACCGCGTCTACAATACCTCTGCTCACCTGAGACCTTTTGCCAGGTACTTTGAATTTGTTAGTCTGTGCTCTAGACCTGCCGAACGTGGACTTTCTGGAAGCAGCTTAGGCAGCTGTCAGGTCCCACAAGACTGGACCTAGTATCAGCCTACACTCCCAAACTGTTGGAATCCCTAAGCCTTAAACACTTCGAACCTTGAACCTAGACTTTAACCCAGCATGCAACGCTCAATTTCTCCAGTTGAGGAATGCAGTTCAGCTGGGGATGCACCTTCACCAAGAACCAGAACAAACAGGTGCGGGTGCTGGGGGTTGCCATCATGGCATGTCACGACATGAGGACTTTCGTTTTTATGGTGTGAGCCAAACACCAGTCAAATGACTGCTCGCACTTTGGGTGTAGAGAGGGGGGTGGGGACAAACGGGCTCTTCGGTTGCATTTTTGCTTGAAGTCTGTATAGTAGCCCCCTGTAAAATTGCAAGTCTATGGGAACATTGCGTGGGCCACTGCCTCATAACTACCCTCCTGTAGCTGGCTTCAATTCTGATCTCAGATGGGTAGCATGTTGGGCAGGTAAGCAGGTCTTGTAGGGAGTCTTCCACAAATGGCATTCTTGCAGTGCCGCATTTGTAACATCCTGGTTTTGACACGTGTGAATGCCCAGGAGAAAGTCTTTCGCGCTGCTATCTAATCCATGACCAGAAGCCCGACCGTAATAACTTCCGGGTAGCTGCACCTCTAGAAGTATGACTCAATATACATCCGCAACTCACAATGCCCCAAGTTAAGCTTCTGGCAGAGTTCTACATGGAAAGTTACAAACCCCACACACAATAGAGCCACAGAGATATGATTTCTTCATGGTACTGATAGAAATCGGCGAAGATTTCTAAGGCATTCGTTGGCAATTTTGCTGGGATGCTGAGGTCCGGGATGCATTAAAAGGTCCGATGTGTACAAGGATGTGACGAGACAGCTCGCTGAATGAGCTGTAGTCTGGACTCCTTAAAGGGGGTTATATAGAGGATTATATAGGAGAGTATTAAGGGGGAAGCTGGAAGTTTAGACTATGGCTTAGATTTTGCAGCAGTGGCTGAGGGCAACCAGGAGCCACGGCAAGCGAAAGGACGCGGAATGCCGCTATTCATCTCGCGATTGAGACGTTCAAAGACTGGAGAGCAGCCCGTGCTTCACATCACGCAAGGAGCTGCTGGAGACTGACAGAGGTCTCGGTCCGTCAGCTTCAGGCGAAGGGGACAGCAGTAGCACAAAGGCCCTTGCCGATCGGCAAGGGACGTCCGTCTAACCCGCAGAAGTTTGAGATAACAACTACATCTGGCAGGGGTATACGAGAAGATTCTCACTCGAGGGCGGGGTGGATCCTTGCAAAGGAAAGTCGGCATATGTAAGCTCCATCCGTGAACATTTGAATAAGCAAAGCCAAGTATGTACCAGTATAGCTACTAGGGCACTGTGAATGCCCAGCAGTACATAGGGCTGTGGCGAAGAGTGATGAATGCAAGCTGTGCCTCGGATTGAAGGACACTAGAACGTGTGGTCGAGAAGGCGATGAAGCGAGGAAAGCAGAGGCACAGTGACAGTAGCGGGTGGACGCAGTCCACCCGCCGAGAGAGAGCAGATGCGATGAGTAGGGCCAAGAAAGCTGTACGATCACCAGATCCCCGACCCAAGCCGGGAACCCATGAAAGAAGGATGCCACAAGATCATGAGGGCTACGAAGCTCTCTTGGTCCCTCTCCTGCGACCCCATGCTTTGCCAGGTGTTCTGTGGAGTTCTGGATCCGTAGAGCCTTTGGCCGAAGACGATCAGAGAGCGGTCGTGGACCCAACGGTACACAGATCGCATCTTGAGTAGCACGGGCGGGCTGGCAAATCTATTTCGTAGAACATAAAGCCTTCCGGGGCGAGAGAATGCAGAGCACGATATGTGAACCCTTGCTTTGGGAGCAGAGTATCTGGTGGAGCCAGCCCTGCCAGACAAATTGGATTAGACGTGACAGGCGTTGCAGGATGATGGAATGCGGGGTAGCCATTCAGTCGTGGAGCTAAAAGAGATTGGCCATGCCTATACACTGTACACCATTCAGGACTTTTTGTCAAAAAGCTGGGCTTCCTAGTGTTGTAACTCGTGGTGTGTTCATCAGTAGCTTGCACTATCGCAACTATCAGAGTCTTCGGCGCAGTAATCATGAGCGGCACCGCAGCCGCACTGCACGGACTGTACTCGTGCTATCTTTCTAAGTTGCGTTTCAGGAGGCAGCGGGGAGGAGTTCAATCCTTGTCTGAGTAAATCAGTAACCTCCACTGTCCCTCATCCCCTGCACCGTGCATTGCAAGGATAAGGAGACAGGATGGCATCGTTAGTGTTGATCAGTTTAGCAGAGGGTACTTGCTTCATCAAAGAGGGTTCACATGGCCTCAAAGATGGAAACGTTAAACCCCTGGCAGCACTCCACACGCTTCATCCTCTTTCCCAGGCACGCTATCCTTCGAAAAAAAACTACACCTCCATTCCACAATCGACAAATGCACTGAAATCACAATGAAGCTTCGAGTGACCCAAAGCAAGTGAAGATGAAGAGCCATTGAATGAAATTTGGATTGGCGTTCGAAGCGACGATCGGATGGACAAAGCAACGAGTTCGAACGGGTGTGCCAACTAGTCATGCCAGCTGCCAGCGATTGTCTTTCCTTCAGACACATCGTCGTTGTCGCTCTTCTCCATCACTCAGTTCACACTTCATGCAGCGTTGCTTAGTGATCGTGTCGCAGATACCTCGGCCTGCTTTGCAGGATCTTGGCTACGTGAACGGTGACGTATGCAAGCCTTTCCTTCGGGCGCTGACGTACAAGGCAAGGGGGGGCTAGTGTGAGGTCTGATGGGTCAAGCGTACGGGTTCAGGGCTTCGGGCTTTAGTGTTGAGGTGATTTTCTATATCGTGCCAATAGATCCAGGTACCTCGCGGCTTGCCGGGGTTTCTACATAACTTGTATGTAGGTGTACAGATTCACATATGCATACTGCATACGATCTGCTTCGACGCGTCCATCGCCTGCATCATACAGATATTGTGAGTGTGTATCAGCGTGAAATAAAGATAAAGATGTGCACGTATACAGGCATGTTTTCATATAAATGTGTGTATCTATATATATATATATGCACACATATACATTCATACATACGCATATACGTGTGTTTTTGTCCTCTCCCTATCTCTCTCTCGCCCCCTGTGTCCCCGGGCTATCCGTTTCTGGATTTCAGGCAATTGTTTTCATGCTGGCTATACGGAGGACAGCTTACCAGGATAGGTTCAAACCAGTTCAAGCCAATGCAACATGAAGCGTGTTGCCCGTCTGTTCCTAGTCCTTCTCTAGCCAATATCCGAGAAAGTGTCTCAAAATGGCGTACCCCAAGGGACTCTATGGGTAAAAAAGGATGATGTGGGAATGAAAGCTGTCACTTTCCGTTGAGAAGTATATGGGTATCATTTTGAAAGCCCATGTCGAAACAATCCTTGTACCATGAAAAGTAGCGGAACCCTACCAGTTCCTAATAGATGCCGTTGCCCGCTCTTTTCCCGCCCCTCCCCGTCTCCCGGCAGCACCACCGGGGTCGTCGAGCGGGATTGTAGAAGGAATTCTAGTGGACAGACTTGCCAAGGGTTTCGTATGGGACCAAGTATAGAGAGGTTACACGAGGAACGAGAGAGAACAGGGTGCGAGAAGGTGTGCATGCAACCATATAATCACACAGACCCAAAGACACCCCCAGATACAAAGCTCTACATCCTGTACCCGAAGCTGCTGAGGTATTATAATCGTTTCATAGTATGCTCTCCCATTTCTTGAAAACACGCATGTGAACATAGCCAAGCTTTAGGACTTAGCAGTCAGGTTGTGAGAAAGATGCGCATGCTTGGATCCTCACAGCCATGTTGTGGTATGCACACACTAGAACCTCAGAACTGGAGATATATATGTATATATACCCCAATAATGGACAATCAAATGGAAGCTTGGACTATAGGGTAGTTTATGGGGATAAGGACGTAATATGAGTTCTCATCAAGCTAATCTTCGTTCTATTTCCTCTAGGCCTCTAGGGTCAAGTACCTAAGAAACACATGCTTCCCAAGCCAAAAACTACAAATAAATTTACCAAGTCACTACCCAAGTATTCAGTTCTTGGGCCTTCTGGGGAGTCTTGGTAGCTGCCAAGAGATAAGGTGAATGAGACAGCCGACTACTTCAATGCAGAGCGCGTTTTGGCCATGGGGCTGCTTGCTGGATTTAGGCTTTAAGGGTTTATGGGGTTTAGGGGTTTAAGGGTCGAGGGTTTAGGGGTTAGGGGTTTATGGGACTTAGGCTTTAGGGTTTAAGGGTTGAGGAGTTTAGGGCTTGAGGATTTAAGGCCTTAGGGGTTCAGGGTTTAAGGGTTTGGAGCCTAGGGGCTTGCTGGAAGACTTGTAGTAGCCTGAATGATTGGGAAGAGTACGTAAAGGCCGTCATGAACTTTCCGGTACAATCAGGGTAGTGAATCCGTTTGCAGCTTAAAAAATACCTAAGCCTTATACAAGCCAACAGTTCCTCCATAGACGACACAGATCCTTTGCATTCGCCTTCCTTCTCTTCCGAAAAGAGTCTCTCTTGGAATGACCCGAAGCCTAAGGATTAAGGATATTCAATATGGAGGCATCTTTCTGCATTGCTTCTCCTGCCCCTATCGAGAGCCTTATTATATATTCAAGATTACAATCATACTAGGAGCCCTAGCAGCACTCGAGGCATGGGCTCGATGTACACCATGAGCCCTGAAGACCAATGCCAAGGTACAGCATGGGTGGCTTTGGCGCGATCCAACTTGGCTGCTGGGCGCCCGAGGACTGCTCCCTTGCCGTAGGCTTGTAGATGTTACGTGAAGGTCCGGTTCACGGGACTTAGTAACTACATGTAGCTGTTCTTATAACCCCTACCTATACTCCGCATGACTGAACTTATGTAGATTACTCCGATTATAAGTAGGGTTATAGGCCCAGCAATAGGCAGTTACTAAGTCTCATGAGTCTTCAAGTAGTAGGGAACGGAATAGTAGACTCCGATAGTAGGACCCATATAACCACTGATAGTGTAGTAATGGTTTGCATTTTCTTGTTCATTGCTGCGCTCCCTAGAAACAGCCAGTGAGATTAAGGTTCTAGAGGGGCTCATGATGATACCAGGTGCAGGTCCCAGGGTGGAGGGTTTAGGGGTCAAGGGTTTAGCAGCTTAGCAAGCAGACTATGTAAACACAGGGTTTCTGGATTCTGTACCATACCCTTGCAACCTCAAAAGTGAGAATCTTTTTGTCCACAGGTCTGTTAGGGGCTCCCCCAAAAATGAAGTTTGCTACCTGCTAGTCATGTCTTGGCTACTTGCAACCATATTCCTAACCAAGTTTTGCATGTTGTGAAGTTGCATACTTTAGACTTTCGCGTCTACACGTCCAAAATGCCCGGAAGCTGAAAAGCGGGCCCTGTCAAGACTATTGTCCTTCTCAACAGGGGGTAACTCCCTAAACTTCTGAGCCTCTCTGCGCCCAATACAGAGCTCGCATAAGTGATCAAGAAGCATGAGATATTCAGAAAAATCTCCCAGTCCATACAATGCCAGATTATGTTATGACCCATAGTAAGGATTATAACATTTGGGGTCAATATTGGGGTCCCCCTATGTAGGGAGACTACCATCTCACCTAGACTTGAGAACCGGCATCCCGTGCAACTCATTGACAGCCTCAGTGTGAAGCACCTGAGTCAGCTTCAGAGCTAGGTACGAACCCATTGTTTGAAGTATTAGGGTGTAGGGTTCGGGTTTAGGGTTGAGGATTTGTCCTTTTATGGCTTAGGGTCACAGGCTATCTAGGATTAGAAAGCTCGTGACTCTCAAGTAGCAGCTTTAGGGTAGAAGGTCTAGCAGTGTTAGGTCCGGATGCTTTCAGTTTAGGATAAGAATGAGGGCTTGGGGTCTAGGATTATCAAACCCACGCTTCTGAAGCATTCGACTCGGGGTTCATGATTATACTACTTAGGGTCTAGGGTCTGGGATTATAGAGCCCATGATTCTGAATTATGAGCTGCAGGATATAGGTCTAGGATTGTTGTGTTTGGAGGCTTGGAATTCAAGATGGTAAGTTTTTGCACGTAGGGTCTAAGATTATGGAGCTCAGAATTCTGAAAAGTAGCTTCAGGGTGGGTATATGGTCTGGATTGTTGGAAGTGGGGTTTACTGAGAGCAACTGGGGTTTGGTTTAGACGAACAGGCCCTTGCATGCGTAACCCACTTGGTACTTCTGATTCTAAACCTAAAGCATACTTGGTGGGTCAGGGAAGCTTAATAAGTAGGTCAATAATGGGGATAACCAAGGTTATTTTTTGGGTTATAAGGGTTACTAACCTAAGTCCCCCTGACCCTCCAAGTAGGCCCTGTCCGAGAGAAGGCTCCCATTCATTTTACACACTCAGCCCTAAAAACTTTGTCAGACCTACGACGCGGTCATATCGCTTGCTGGCTATGGCATGGGTACTCTTGACGGCAGCAATATGGGTTTATATGGGAGTATATAACCCAGACAACGAAGGATTCGCCATTTTCTTTAGAGACTGGGATTCTGTAGGGATGGTTGAGATTGGGGGGTTTGGTTTTCACGTTTCCGTTGTCAGGGTGCATAATGTGGTGTCGCGGAATACCCATTCAACGCCACTGGCAAAGGGCCTTCTCTGAGTTGCATAAGGAATCCAATGTTGGCATGTATGGGGGTTTCCCAAAATGAGGGATGCCTTTTTGGGGTCCCTATCATAAGGATTATAGGATTTGGGGTATACATTCGGGTCCCCCAATTTAGGGAAACTACCAAATGTTTCTGTTGGAGTTGCACTGACCTGCTGATGGGCTGAATGCTTTTAGAGACATCTACTTGGCGGGCAGGGGGACTTACCATACTTCAACCCCCCGTTACATGCCAGACTTGTGACCTTCAATATCCTCAGTTATCCTGAGTCATCCCTACTTGCTATTAACCTAGCCTCCAATAAGGCCACAGTGTTGCAGGTTTGGTTGGGGGTGGCTTTGTATAGAAATTGCCCTATCCTAAGCTAAATCCCCATATTTAGGGTTTCAGGTTCAGTGGATTGAGGCAGACAATGTTCGGCCCTCAATGTCTGCATTATTTTGGCACATACTTGAACATCTAGAGGCTCACAGGAACAACCTGTATCCACGAACCCTTAGCACCGGAAGTGCCATGGACACCAAAGCCTGCACTACACTGACTCTCAGGCCCCAAAGTCTGGAATCCCAATAAAACGACAAAACCACAACTGAACCACCAGAACCAGCAGTTCGAAACCTGAGTAAGTCTTGGTTTGGCCTTCTGTTTGGAAGCCCATGCCGGACGGCGCAAAGTGTAAAGGTTTGAAGCACCCCACGCTTTAAACCATCAACCTCAGCCCTAATGCTGCAAGGCACTCGAGCGCCCACGGAGATCTCTGGTGCTCCACAACCCAAGGGACGTCCACGAGCTGTCATTCAGAAGGGTTTGGGATTGAGAGTTCAGGGCTTCAAACCTGAGGATTTGGGGCCAATGACGGATTTGGATTTAAGGTGTAGGAAGGGTGCATTGTTTTGAGTTTGGGTTCAGGCTTGCAGAGGGCTTAGGCTGATGATGATGATGATGATGATGGTGGTGATTATGATGATGACGGAGGGCGGTTCTGCGAGCATCTCAAAATTTAATGTGCGACCCTTTCCAATAAACAGGGGGAGCTGGGAGCAGAAAAACCTGTCCTTCGTTAAAAGCTATTCGGCTTGATTTAAATGGGATGGTCTGGATTCTGCTGGGACCCCAAAAACCAAAACGCATTTACGAGAGGCTTCCACTTACATGGTCGACCTGATCCTATTTAACGGGTGGCCAAAACGCGCTATACGAGGCCTCTTTATGAAAGAAGGTCCAATATGAGGCTCCTCTTGGGAGGTCCGTCTGTTGAGGTGGTACGTGATCGGGATATTTCAGAGAGCGTGCTTCAAAGGACGTGCACTCAAAGGACTCGGCAATTCTGTAGGTTTTGCGATTCAGGGCGTATACTTTGGGCCAGTGTGTAACCCTCCACGCACCCTTTGCAGGGTCTAAGAAGGCCATTCTCACATCCGTATTTTCAAGTCCTCGGAGAGGATCGGCAGGTCTTTCAGGGAGCTTATTTAAACCATGGTCCGTTTTGGGTCGTTACAGTACGCATACTGGGTGGTACAAGAGAAGAATGTTATCACGAAATTCCGGGGAATGTATGATAGGAGGGGGGGAGAGAGAGAGAGAGAGAGAGAGAGGGAGAGAGAGAGAGAGAAGGGGAGAGAGAGCAAGGCGCCGGGAAGTATAGGGATTGTGCTTGAGGGTAGGGTGTTGGAAAGGGTTGAAGCTATTTGAAGTATACTATACTGAGCTTTTATGGTGCTGAGACGGTCATGTCGATCATCTCGTGAGGCATTTTACACTTTATTCTGTGAGTTCTAAACACTGAACCCAAAAGCCTTAAATCCGAAACCCTAAACCCTATTTAAATACTATTCAGATTTCAAGACTTGGAGAAAACGGGGGGCTGTTGCCCACCTTGCGGTTACAGTCTAAGCATGGCTTATTGAGAACTGGGTGGGGAGGTTGGGGTTGAGGGAAGAGAAGACTTGAAAACATGGAAGGATTGCATGGGGTGTTTTATAGGCTTCAAGTACGTACAGTAGCTTTCTGGTGGATCACCTGGCTGCACATCAGCCATAAAAGCCCTCCAGGTTTCGGAGCCTAGACCACAAACTGTGAAGCCTCGACCCTGAGCCCAAATCTAGCAGCCTCCAAAACCAGAAGACTAAAGCTCCAATCCCCCATCACCCCATACCTCCAAATGTGAACAGCCTAGGCCGGGTATTTGAATGGTATCTTGACGAGTACATCCCGAAGCTTGCTGACGTGCCCATCGTCTGGGGCGTGCCGGGCTCAGTTTCGGAGTGATCTTTTCGGTTCAGGGTCAGGTTCGGGATATGGATGGATATGCTATTGGTATGTTGGGGTTTCTCATAGCCAGGGTTGGCGGGTGTCTTTATGGGAAGGTCTCCCATGAAATACCTAAACCCTCCTGATCCTGCCTTTTGGGGCCTACAACGTCTACAGCCAGAGGACAGCATCCTACTAGTACGGGGGCCGTAGTAGAATTGCGTCGAGATATAGGATACCTTTTGGTAGTGGTTTCCAAAAAATCGGAGGAACTCCAATACAGCCTCCAATGCACTGTAATCCTTGTTGCATGACCCATAAAATGGTATCCCCAACGCTGAAAACGCTCAGATTTCAAGTGGTTGCTAAGAGCCTTCGAGTTGGATGGCTGGGCTTGTGGTCTCACCGGTTCCAGCACTCCTAAGCCATATGAGTCATCGTCTGAACTCCTAAAAGGGGGTTATACAGGGGATTGCATAGGGGAGCGTTATCCGGGCTATTGAAGGGAATACTAGGAGTTTAGACTATGGCTCATATTCGAACCGCAAGGGTTCAGGGTTGAAGGGTTGTTAATGCGCAAGACCACCCAAACGAGAAAGCCTCTCCATTCAAATAGGCTCCCCATATACAAGTGTGGTTTTCCAACCAAAGCTTTTGACCCAAGCCTTATCTGTACAGTGGGGTCGCCTGATACTTTGGAAGAAGCCCACATTGCGTAGGCTCCCCAACTCCTCTAATAAGGAAAACCCGGTAACAGGAAGGGGTGCCTTTCAGAAAACTAACATGAAGCTTGAAAAAGGGCACTATACAGACTGCATGTGCGTTTATACCCAAGGGTGTGCATATTGTTCCGTGTTAGTCGGGGCGGGCACGCGAGCTTTGTCTTCAAATGCTTTGGATTGGTCCTGATGTCTGGGTGACGATCGGTAAGACCCAGCTGACCCTAAACAATCCATCGTAAATCCTCATTCCAGAAGCCTAGTCCCAAAGGCGTCTAAATCCAAGTTCCCAAACCCTAACATCTGCAAAATTATTTCTGAAGATGTGAGGTCTTACTCCAAAATTAGGACCCCATACTTATCATGTGATTCCAACACATCTTCATGTCCCGAATTCGGGTTACCATGGCGCACATATTTGATGCACCAGGTCCACAGCCAGAGCGACGGCGTCTCGAGCTTCAATGATGCCTGCGCCTCAAAGCCGGTTGCTGTGGTCTCCTTAGGTATAATATAACCCTGAGAAATTACTTCCCCATTACAAAGACAAGGTTTTGCGTTCATCTGGAGAGTATATAATAAGAGGGATACCTCTCGAAAATGATGGAGAGTCACATGTAAGACAAGACAACTGTTGAGGTCCTAGCGGATTATAAACCGTTCCTGCTGATATCAAGTTGTGTCTCCCCTGCACCCAAAGCCCAAAAAAAAACAGTTCCCCTATAGTCGGCCACATGCTTGGGTCATGGATTTAAGGTTAGGAGGTGGTGTGTGATTTACCGAGGGAATCAATGAAGCGCTTTCCCGACATCTAGTCTGCACACGTTTTCACAACCTCAAACGGCCTCAACCCATACCATGGTTACTTTGGGAAATACCCAAGACAAGGCGCTGATATCAGTAGCTTGGCTAGTCTGTGTCGGAACATAAACAGATGCCGCGCAAGTCTGGCGTCAAAGCAGTCAAGATGTCGAAGCATGCAGATAGGATGATGCAAGCTATCTTTTCCTATTGCCAGTTCTGCGTAAAAAGTTTCTGGCTTCTAGTGTACTTGGGTCACTGGAAGTTTCCCACAACGTGCCATCAGTCTTTGCTGTGGAGCTTCGGAGAATGCGCGGTTGGCGTACAATTCCCCAAAGAAGCATGAAAGTTCCAGTGCCTACACCAACGTGAGCACTTGTATGGACACTTATGGCATTTCATCTGACTTTACGGGGACAGGCATAGTAATTTGAACAATATCCTGATGTAAACCCTACTTTAGCGGGTAGAATCGCTGAGGCGCTTCAGGCCCAAGGGCCCCAAGTTTGAAAAATCCACCACCTGAGCCATCATCTAAACTCCTTGGAGGGAATTATGGAAGGGGTTATTTAGGGGATTACTATAGGGGTTATTGAGGCACATACTAGGAGCTCAGATTATGGCCCACATGACCTGCCACTTGATTGTGCCTTAGCTGCTGGTGATCTCACTCCGTAAGGCTTAGGGTTTAGGACCTCGACACATAGATGGGTGGTTGTCAAAAATATGGTCCCTTTGTTGATCCCTATTATAATACGGCCCCTAATATTTAGGGTACCCAAAAAGGGACCATAATTTTGACAACCAGCCAGATAGGGTTTCCAAGAATCAGGGAGACCCTTTTGGGGGGGACCCTAGAATGAGGGTTATAATTAGTATTTTTAGATTTTTGGGGCCTGTATGTGGAGGCACCACTCCTTCTGAACACAGCCTAGTCACTGAGTATCGTTGTGGCCGGCACGGCCAAGATGTGAAGAGTAAACGATGTGAGCATTATACTGCACGCGTCTGCAAATATGATCATGCGCGCGCCAGCTGCTTGCATATTGCAAGGTGCGCGCGATCGTTGACAGGGTGAGTGACGCTTACCTGCTGCGAGTGCTTAATTTTGCAAAGCAATGCAACGGCGATGTTATTGTGCGTGATCTCATTTATAGGACGGTTTCTTGAGTTGAGCACCCCTTCCCACGTCTTCAGGTCTAAATCATGCGAAATTTTGGAGGCGGAAATCCAACCTTCCAGCTTTAAATTTCAGATTATGAAATCTGGCCCTAAACTGGCTGTTACCCTTGCTTTGTGTGGCTGATTGTGGCAAGATGCCATATGCTACATGCTTGTTGAACCCTGGGTGCTTTCCTTTCAACATAACTTTCGTGAGGCTTTTCATGTGGTACTTCAGAGGGACAGGGCTGGATGGTTTTCTCGTTCGTTTCATAGAGGTTGCTCTGCCTGGGGCTAGGCCTCAAGTCTTAGGGTCTCGGGTTGGCAAGATCATAGACACCTGGCACATGAGAGAGCTTGAAATTCTGAAATGGCAATGAGAAGCCTAGCCATTGCTTGTTAAAAATGGGCGTCAGCAGTGTTTAAGATATCTTTGAGCATGTCAGCACAGCAAGTGGAAAGGTAACACAGAATTCGTGTTTCTGAGCCTGACAATTTGCAGGTAGCTAGAAAACGCACCAGCAGAAAGCCGGATGCCAGCCTTAGATGGCTGAGGATATCCTAAGCCTTAAGCCCGGTCTGAAAGCTGCAAACCCATGTTTAGGGTCTTGGGTTGGAGAACTGAGAGGGCATGTTCGGCGATTTTTGATTCTAGGTTCCTCACATGAGCCATTGTCTAAACTCCTTAAAGGGGGATTATATAGGAGATAATATAGGGGACTACTATAGGGGTTATTAAGGGGGATACTAGGAGTTTAGACTATGGCTCACATGCCCCTTTGCAACCTGACATTGGACAAGAGCCCGCTGCTGAACATACAGTAATTGACGTAGGCCCCTTCTGCCCTGAATCCTATGGTCCCCATTTATATGAAAAACTGCTATGAGTTCCGAAGATGTACAAGGTACTTAGAGACATGCATGATGTTTTAGCATCGAACCTAGTTCCAGAATTACGCCAGATTAGAAGAGCGTTACACTAGAAACACACACCTGTATACCCTAACCCCAAGACCCCAACACCCCTAAACCCCTAAATCTGCAAACAGTAAATCCCTCAACACTCAAGCCGCCGTACACTGAACCCATGCCCAACACTCTGATCCAGACTACCCACGTGGAACCTTTTGGGTTGAAGGGTCTGAAGATTCCGTAGTGCCCTTAGGGACACTAGCGATATATATATAGGCATTCCTTGGGACCCTGGAGATATAGGGGTTATAAGGGGATCATGGGGATCCTATTTAAGGATTATCTAAGATTTTTTTGGGGGGTGAAGTAAGGACTGCTGCCAAGGAAACAGCTCGCCGAACAAGAAAGCGCTGCAACACCCGCATGATCGAGGCTGTCTCAGCTTTTGTGCGTTCCCTAACTGCCTCTTACACTGGGTTGCTGTTTAATTCTTCAGTTAAGTTGTTATGATAAGGAAGGATCAGTATATACGGCATACCCGTATATTTAAATTCAAGATTCTTAACAGCAACCCAATATATTACCCCCTTCTTCTGTCGTGAAGTCTATGCACGGAGAAACGAGGACAAGAGGCGGAAAACCGCAAGCAGCTAAGCGGAGGGTTTGTGGGTAGGGCAGTTGGGGGAGTCATGACAATTTTTGCTTTCAGCCTCAAACTCTACTTGGAGGGTCGGGGGCCTCAGTAACTAGGCTACTAAAGGGGACAACTGGCATTAATTCGTAATATGTAGGATAAGTCATCAAGACAGGTTAGGACACGTGGCGGTGCCGGGTGACATGTGTAACTTCGCGCAGGGTTAACATAGAGATCCTTACAAGTGCAGTTCTATCCGTTTCGTTGTCCTAGTCCGATATGACCTAAAGCCTAAACGCTGGCAAGAGACATGAGACATTGTAAACAGCGAACGTGATCTTGGAGGAAATGGAAAGATGCCCGAGTCCCCGAGCCTGCTGACTTTGGACCTCTTCGCACCAAGTTTGGTAATTACTTGTCTATATTTTTGCTTTTGGGTAGACAAAGGCAAGGAGGCCAAATCAGGACTGCTAGCTAGGGCTTGCTCTCCCCAAACAAACATGTTTGGGGTGCTCCTATGCAACTCCATGCTAGCCTTCCAGGTCCTCACGGGTCACTGTCAGTAAAAATATGCATTTTCTAGCTTTCAGGAGGTTTTTGCATGCGCGCAGCCCCACCCCAACCAACATGGAGCCCTGAGGGCCCCTGCAAAAACTCCTTGGTACCAGGGGGCTATACGGGCTCCATGTTAGTTCAACAAGTCCTACCACGTTCTGCCCCACGGAGGTGGGATCCAGCTATGTTCCAAAGACTGAGAGTAAGTGATTTTGTAGGGTGCTAACAAATTTACAGTGGCCTCTCAAGCCAAATGGCGGTCTATCTAGATGCTTATATCGTAAGGGAGCCCTTTCCGGTTAGTGAGCGAATTGCTTAAAGTGGGCCAGTCAAGGGTGTAAATCCTTGTTGTTTCGAAAAAAAAAGGTCCGTTCTTCCTGTCTCTGCACGAATTTCCGTCGGTGATAAAAAACTCCAGTTTGGGTATGTCGCCACAGATCCTGAGCCCTTAACCCTAGCTCAAGCGGTGCCCCTGCTGAAGGTCTCGGCTGACGACGCCAATACTGATTACCCAAGAAAGAGAAGGCATCGCAAAGTCTCAGCTGCTAGATTGCTAGACGACTGCTTGTCTAGAACCTATTATTTGGGTCCTTGGACCCTAAACCCTAAACCCTATATATCTGCTATAACCCTTTTAAAAGGAACCTATTATTTGGGTCCTTGGGCAACTGGGGGGAGTGAAGATGAAAATGTGTATGCGCATATGTAAAGGCATATGTAGCTCTTGGAGAACATGTCGGCTTAACGTACGTGATGAAGAAAAAAAGTAGTGAGGTCCTGCGGATTTATAGGAACCTTTCGAAGTTTTTGGGAGAGCCGAGGCGAATTTTCTTGAAGTTCCCCATATATCCCGGGGTCCCAAAAGGTACCCCAATATGAACGTTTGCTAAGTCTTAAGAAAGGCTATCTGGGATAAAGGCGAATGTGGGGCATAAGTCTGGTGACCTAAGCCGAACTCAAGGGTTTAGGGTTTAGGGTTTAGGGGGTGTATTATAATAAGATCCCCAAATACCCCATATTCTATCTACTTAAGGGGGACTATATGCTGGAAGGATAGACGTCACTTGTCAATGAAGGTGTGCGGTCTTCAGATTGCTAGCACGAAAGGCCATGAACACTCAGATTCCACAGCTCAAATATGAGGTCCATGCCCAGCTAAAAATGAAGAAGTGGATCGTGTCGGGGTCCCTACATATTTCCTATGACAACACATCCAATCCCCAAACCGCGTACTCTAAACCTTAAGGCTAAACTCGATACGCTGGTTGAGAGGCCCCCCATTATACTACATAATACTATATTGTACTATATTATACTAAATCAAGCTATATTAAACTATATTATTTCATATTTTATACCATACTATACTATATTGCATAACCTTCAACCCTACATTCGACACCTCTGCCGAAAGGATCCCATTGGTCACCTGCAAAAAAGCTGTACACCTTATCCTGTCGTGACATTTCGAACGCCAGGGCCAGCGCTTCGGGCCACGGCTATTTCAATGTGACCTTACTGAAGGACCTGGGGTACTTTTTTAGGGGACTTGGTGGTTCAGGGCTCCAGTATTTTGGGGTAGTTAGGTGTTGTGGGTTAAGAGGTCAGGAGACTCTGAGGGACGTATGGATTAGAGGCAAGCGCTTGGATTGAAATTTTGATAGACCCCGGCACTAGAACTACTTATACGGGCTTGCTCGCATCGTCATGGGTATGGGGATAGTATATTTCCTAACTCATGACAGTCATAACATAAATCCAAAGCCGTCCGCTCTAGACCGCTATGGGGATGTTGCGCGCTCCTGCAAGCTAACCTGGAGCCCCAACCCTAAACCCATTTTGGCCCCCCTTACCGGACTGTAGTCTGTGTGGCGACCGTTTGACCGTACCGTGTGCGAGAGCGCAAATCCTCCTGACTCCGCTCTTTATCCTAATTTTTTTAGCCCCATGAATTAGGGTTTGGGGTTTAGGGTGTAGTTGCCTGAAAGATGTTGCCAGGGTTTACGGGCCTGAAGGACAAAAAGAGTAACAAGCAAAAAATGTCGGAGCCCGACTGGGTTTAGGGGTTTAGGTTTTTGGGTTTTTGGTGTTTAGGGTTTAGGTTTTTGTGGTTTTAGGTTTTTTGGGTTTAGGGTTTTAGGGTTAACGGTTTAGGGTTTAAGGGTTTAGGGTTTAGGGCGACTGGCCTGAGACCAGGCGGAACCTTGCCTGGATTCGTTGGTCCGATGTCCAGAGCGTTATCAAACAGCGCAGCAAACTCATATACTCTAGTATACCATACTATCTTGGAATATACTATAGTAGTCTATGATAGAGATATGTACTATAGTATTCTATAATGCATTATCAACTGCCTCAACCCCGAATCCTCAACCTCAAACTATCGATCCTGGCCTTGAAGCAGAAACCCTAACCCTAAAGCCCATATATCCCATAGAACCGCGTAGAAACCCTTAGATTTCCCCTCCTAAAGCCTAACCCTTCATCCCGAGGACCCTGCATCCTCAACTCTCCACCGTCAATCCAAAATCCAGAGGTTGTGAGATCCCATTTGAGTAGTATTTTATTTGGGGATACTATGGTACCCAATATAGAGTAAGATTATATCCTTCGCAAGCCTACAAGTTACACCAGGGGCACTGTCGGTCTCCGAAAATGAGAAGCATCAGTGAGAAGTCCCTGCAGCAAGCCTAGGCCACTAGCTGAAAGGATTGGAATCCGTAAGCCCAAACTTTATGCCACAAACTCTTGGGGTAATATTGGGATAATGGAAAATCAAATGGAAACTACTATAGTATATTGGGGGTAAAAATGGGATAATGGAAAAGAAAATGGAAACTACTGTGAATCCAAAATCCGATACCCCGAACTCTCTGCCCAAAAACCTGAACCCTGACCGGCACCAGGACCGAAGCGAGCACATCTTCTGGGAGGACCTCCGCACCCAGCTTTCTCGCTCCGCCAAGCGACACTTTGCTGCAGAACTCCTTGGGGTTGAAGTTCTGGCTCTGGGGTTCAAGGCTTAGGGTCAACGCAATTGTTATTAGGGTTCAGGGTTAACAGTCTGGAGCAGTTTCGGGGGTTTCGGATTTAAAGTTTACGGTTTAGCCTTAGGCTTCAGACAGTTAACCCAAGGAATTGCAAACATCTGTGGCTGGCGTTCATGGTTTAACGTGAGCTTCTGGGGAAGCCAGGCATATAGTGGCCATGTAATGGCACAGTCAGATCAGAATCAGGAAGCGGGCTTTACGCGGGGAACTTCCATGGACGTTCAAGTGGATTACATGAAGATTCGGAAGTGAAAGAGGTTTTTGGGCATACGTGTTTCTGTTTTGGCGTTCCAGGTGTGTGTGATTCATTACACCTTTTGAAAAGCCATCTCAAATACTCCTGGTTAAACCTTGTCCTCCTAATCTCGGGACCGAACGATCGGACGTGTGGCATGTTTACATGCCTCCCACATCAGACTGTCGCCGAGACAAAGTCACCCCACACCTCAGACCCTGCACATTGCAAATTGCATAATGTAGACCCATGTTTCTCAAGGGCCTTAATATTAGGATCCCTATTAACATTCCCATAAAAAAAGGCCGTAATATTAGGATCCCTATTAAAATTCCCATTGAAGAAAGGCCTTAATATTAGGGTCCCTATTAAGATTCCCATTAAGGGAAGGAGGTTTACTAATTACGGGTCTACATTAGCCAAGGGCAGCGACGACGCTGGGACATGCCTCCAGAAGCCGAAAACAGAGCACCACGGCTTTCAAGTAGGGGCCTGAATCATTACCAATATGAGCCAAAGTCTAAACTCCTTAAAGGGTGTTATATAGGGGATTATATAGGGGACTACTATAGGGGTTATTGGGGATGCTAGGAGTTTAGACTATGGCTCAAATAATTACCAATATCATTTTGAGGTCCATTTGAGGTACCATAGACCAGAATTATATAAGGAATATGGAACCATAATATTGGTAATTAAGTAAAATTTAAGCCATTGAAAGTTGAAAATGACAAGTAATCGCAAGAATGGAGTTCATCCTAACAATACTATTTGTAGTATGCATGTATAGCCGCCTTAGGTAGATAGAATACTGGGTATATGGGGATCTTGCTATCATATTGGGTAATTCCAAACTCTATCTACTTAAGGAGGACTTCAAACTAATCAATATTGACTGCTCAGGCTTTTTATTTCTGGGTGTCGGGTTGGGGTCATCCAGATTTTGGCGGTTCGTGTCTTGGGAAGGAGGATTTTGGAATAGAATTCTCTCGGGGAGCTACCGGGCCCGGGATGTATATGGAGCCTTGGGTACGTGATAGGGTTCCTGTAGTTAGTTGAAAGTACTTCATGCCGATTTCTGGAGATCCCTGGGTTTCCTTGGTCAGTCTTTCGTTCTTTCCGCCGTGTGTTTCTTGATTCTTCTATTGGTGCTCGCAGCTGCGTGAACACTCAGGACTGTAGACTTGTGGTTTCGTGATATGGGATTTGTTATTGGGTTTGCAAGCCCGCCCCATGTTTCAGTCCTGTCTACCTCACCACCCTTCAACAGTATCAACAAAGCTCCATCGAAGGGGACTGGGGATGTAGTTCCCAAATCCTTTGAATTACGGACGGCATTTCCTAACTTCATCCAGGCCGAGGCAACTTGCAATCATTTTAGTCAAGCCCGCGGCTCCTCAGCAGGTAGTGTTAGTAGCTTTGACGACGAAACGCAGAATAACTGTGATAAACTTAGATACCAAGAGCAAAAGGGAATAACTGGGCTTTCAAAGGAACGCAGATTCAACAATGTTTGAAGGATGTGCTTCGAACTCTGGGGCATCATGTGATATTGCGTTTCTCGAAATACGGGCGCGACCTCAGCCTAATACATCATGATGACAGGTCCCTCGTCATGGAAATACAAGACCTGTTCATAACAGATTCCCGTCCTATATGTTTCCATCAGTGGTAGATGGTCTGGAGATATTTACAAACAGACTTTGCGCACAATTTACAAGAGGAGATATGCAGATATGGGAGTTTCCCAGCATTAGGGGTACCATTTGGGGGGGTCCCCATAAGAAGGATTATAGTATGTTGGGCCTATGTTGGGGTCCCCTTATTTTGGGAAACTACCATATGGGTATTGGTCTAAATTTCCTATAATACGGGGTCCTATATTTGGGTTCCCATTATAGTACGGGGCCCTATATAAATTTCCCCCATTTTGGGAACAGTAATTTAGGGAAACTACCATATGTTCTATCAAGGCGTACACAGGAAGCCGCCGGTCACCCACCCCAGGGCCTAGCGCTTTCGGCGGCCATCACAGAATTTGAGTAGTATTTTATTTGGGGATACTATGGTACCCATTATAGCGTAAGATTCTATCCTCCCTTTGGGGTATAGTATATTGTATGAGGAATATTATCTTACTAGGTTCAACCGCCAAAAAAAAAAGGCTACTCATTTGACCAACAAGCGAATCACCTCCACGCTCCACCCGCGTCTACCACATGGTAGAGCTTGCAGGTTCCGAGCACGTAAATCATAACCTTCATATGGTAGTTTCCAAAAATAGGGGGACCCCAATAAATATAGACATCCACATGTTATCATCCTTATTATGGGGGCCTCAAGAAAAGTATCCCTAATTTTGGGAAACTCCCATATCCTTAATTCCAAAACCAGTGCATCCCAAGGGCAAGCGGCAGCGTGAGTGCAATGATGCTTACGACCTGCCCTGCAAGCGCTGGCGCTGGCGCTGAAAAAAATCTTCTCAAGTGCGCTATTGGCAGTGCTTCGGAAAGTTTAGGGTTTCCCACATATTAGTGTCTCTTTTTGTTGTTTTTTTGGGGAGGGTCCCATTGTAAGGACAGTATAGGTGTCATTAATATTGGGGACCCCTCCTTTTGGAAAGTTACTGCATACATACATGTATGTACAAATATAGATTCGTATATGTAGACACACACATTCATACCTGTATAGCATATTCCAGACATTAAGTGTGAGATGCTCTAGTAATTACTTTCAGGATCAGGGGTACTCAGCAAGCAGGTTAACAGACCTTCTAACTCATGTAGTAACCCTAGTTATCCCCATGATTAGCCTACTTGTTAAGTCCCTGACCCTCCAAGTACCAGATAGCATGCACTCCCCATGCGTCTACACCTTGAGCGCACAGAACTTCCTTTATCATATGAGCCCTAGTCTCAACTCCTAGTATCCCTTTCAAGAAGCCTTAGAGTACTCCCCTACAGATTCCCTATGTAGCCCCCTTTAAGTAGATTAGACTTTAGCTGATATTGGAGAAGAGTAAGTCCACGATCTTCCCTTACATGAACTGCTGTGGATAGTGGCATTACCAAGGGACCATTAAGGGTNNTCTTGTAGTCTAGTATAGTCCCTAACGTCTCCCCTAGTAAGGAAGCCATGTCCATATATTGTATGGGAAATTTATTGACTGCAACTCACATGTTCACCCACACTCATGGGCTGTACATCTACTTCCTGTTTGATTCGGCGATTTCCGCAAATTAGGAGCCGGTCCGTTTTGGGGAGTCCCCATGATGAGGGCTATTGTATTCAGCAAGTGAGAGTTAGCCTGCTTGGGGAATCAACGGCTACATTGGCCTTCAACTGGGTTGCTGTTAA